TGAAGCAGAAGGACCAGCAATGTAGCATAGAGGGAGACTTTGTGACCTGGAATTACCTACAGAAGATTAAAAGAGGTTTCCCACAGGGGCTGTCATCGATATCTTAACTCCCTGTATTGTGCAGCTTAACTGCTGCATTGCTTCCCAAAAAATTACACCTACATCCCTTCCTTTACCCCACTTGACATTGCTGGCAATCCCAGGATGAAAGCAGGCTGAGCACTGCTTTGACAGCCTGGTGGGGAGGCAAAGGCTGGGACTAACTGGAATTACACAGAGCAGAGCACTGTGGCCATGCAGCAAGACATGTCACAGAGCAGCATGGATGCTGGCAGGACAGCACCTTTCCCTGCTGCTCGTGGAGAGCAGCTTTTCCCATTGCTTCCCAGACCCATTCGCCACTTGTGGTAACTTCGAGCCTTTTGCTTTCTCTAAAAAGCTGCTCCAACAAAAGATGAATTTGCTTGTGGAAGGTGCCCACCTCGCTGATAGCGCCTGGTCTGTTGAGCCATTTCCGTAGTAACAAATTCATGGTACAGGTGGTGGGATTGGATCAGGGAGTGGAAAGTACAAAATAAACCTCATTAAAATGTGACTGTCTCAGGCATGTCTCTGGAAAGCAGCACAGCAGGCACTAGGAAAAGAAAAGGTCACCCAAAGGCCATGCTGAGATAAGTCCTGTTACCTGATGAGATTTTTACTTTCCCAGAGCAGCATTTCTCCTCGGTTGCTCATCCAGCTGTCTCAGGTGAGCTCTCTGGGAAGCACTGCTCTTCACTTAGGCTGTCTTCTTGCTTCTGCCACCCAAATAAGCTGCGACTCCATTTGTTGCCCACCTTCCTCAAGCCTCTGTGATTTGGGAGACACAGTTTGTTGAGAGATGTAATGCAGACACAGGGAAAGAGCTGAAAAACTCGGTCAAGCACTCTTCATGACAGACCTTCTGTTTTTTGTCACCTTTCTCTCCATCCCCACTTCACAGATTTCTTTGCTCAGTTTCTTTGCATGGAAAAGCTATGGTAGCAGCTGTGTTTGGCTTGTAGTTGTGTGTGTCCTGAGACAAACGCCAAGCAAACTTCAGACCAGCAGAAAATCCAATGAACAGGGTGGTCTGTGAGCCAGACAGCAGGCTGGGATTCCTCTTCAGCCACCTGATGGCTGTGAGGGTGAGGGTTCACCAGGCAAGTGGTGAGATCCAGCCAGCCAAGCCGGCCTTCACCCTCCCAGTCTCAGTGCTGTGGGAGGTCTGGGGCCCACACACCAGGTCCCAGACCTGCCAGCCCAGGTGCTCCTGGTGCAGGCTGGAGACTTGCAGCAGAGGTGCCAGTGGGAAGCCTGCTGGCTGTGTTCTTGCTGCACTGGGACAGGGGCTGCGAGACACGCTGGTAGGGCTATAGTTTTGCTGGGAGAAAGACTCTTGTGGAGACAATTCAGAATTTCTACACGCACACGCCCTTTTTGCACTTTTTAAACCATTTTTACTCCTTCCACAGGGGTCATTGAACCTTCAGTTTAATAAAGGAAATCAGCTGCCATTGAATAGCTTTCTGAAGGGTCTGAAAGCCGGTGCTACCTGTCATGCAGAGCTGGTCTGTGCCTAACGTGATTTCCAGACCTCAGTGTACAACCTATAGCAGAATCACCCCATGGCAGGGTAAGGACTGGAGTGGGTGAGTCGGCACTGGACATCATGCCAAACAGCCATGGCTTCCCAAACTGAAGCAGAATCAGATCAGTAAGTGGGGGAAGGAGCAGCAGCAGTAGAAGGATAGCTAGTTGTCACAGGTAATCTTCGGTATCCATGTCCAGTGGTTAGTGCTAGAATTGCAAGCCTTGTTATATTGCACACACGTCCTCCTTCCACTCCCCTTTTCTCAAAGCAGCCGTCACCTTTCCTCCCACCGCCCCATGCACTAGTGATGAGCATCAGAGGCAGTTGCACCAAAGTGATTCTCAGCCCAGTTCTGCATCCCCCTTTCCCGCCTGAACCCAAGGCAGCGTGGACAGTTGTTGGCCTGCACCAGTCTAGTAATTCCACTAGGGTTTCTTTCCTTGTGTACCATGGCTTCCTTCCCACACACTCTAGCAGGGCAGTACAGGAGGCTGTGACCATGTCCCAGGAAGCTTCTTTGCCCCCAGCAGCACCTTGCAGCCATGCACCTTACTGGGAATGTACTGGGTTAATGCTGGTGAGATCTGGCACTGCCAGTCTTGCATGGGTGGCAGCTGATGGGGATTCACCTGGGGAAGTTGGCAGAAAGTGGCTACTGTCCCTTTTCTTTTCTTTTTTGAGGGAGAAGGGGATATTTTGGCATTATGATTATTGTCCATCTTCCAGTGGCCAAGTTCTGGGCTGCATTAATAATTGGGGTTCATTGGCTGTCCAGGCAGGTGTGGAGCTTTGCACCAACCTTAATAGCAAATGTTGTGGTTGTATCCAGAGCCTGGATACAGGATGGGTTTCTCCCATGCTGGCAAAGTACTTTCAGCAGGCTCCAGATGGACATTTCTGGCAGACAGAAAAACAGCACTCCTCCAAATCTGGATCAAATCTGCACTTCCATTTTGTGTCCTCAGCATGGAAAAAAAACCTCATCCTAAGCAAATGCTTTCCAGGTCTCCATTCCCCATGTGGTGCCTGGCAACCCAGGGGAGGGGGTGTCTAGAGGCATTTCAGGGTCACCAAAAGCAAGATCCTTTTTGGATTTATTTAATGGAAATATATTTCAGGAGGAGAGACCTCCCGACCTTTGTGTTAATCTCAAGAGCAGGAGATGAATTTCTGGCTGTCCTTGCATATAGTGAAACATAGCTGAAACAGCCAAATGCAAATAGAGTTAAATGTAGGGTTTGACCTGAATAACCTTTTAATTAGGAAAATAAATTTGTTGTAGCTTGACCTTAGTCCTTGTTAGGAACCTGCTAATCATTTGACATGCAGAGTGTATTAATGCTGCACTTAACTTGGCCATTGGTTTTATTATCTGGTTTGGGGAGTTTTTTCACTCCCGAAGCATCAATCTGCATCTTGTATGGGTTTTCTTTTTTTAGTTTTTTTTCCTGTTCAGATCATGTAGCACACTATTGTACTTTTGTTCCCGTCTGTGTAGAGTATTGCCTTAAACAGATCAGTTGTGTTGTGGTTTGTTTTGGGTTTTCTCTTTTCTACCATCAGTTTTATGCATTAATTTATTTAAAAATGTGGAGGTTTTTTTTTTCAAAAACATGAAACATGTATAATATATTTTTTAACATTTCCATTGCAGTATTTATCATTGTTACTGGTTGTGTGTAGTGTAACGGAATTAATGATATTAAAAAGCATACATATGAAAATGAGCCTGCCAGCCTTTTTTCATTGGAGAGAACTGAGGCAAGAGGATGTGAGCTGTGCCATCTTCTCTGAGCCTCCAGCAGTCACAGATACTGAAATCAGGGGTGCAGCCTTCATCCCATGGCTAATACCAGCCTGCTTGTGCTGAGAAACAGCAACTGGTGTGGAGCTGTGCTGTATGACAGAGGTAAATATTTAGGAACTGGCCAGCTCCCCACCTACACTTGTCCCCAAAGCAGTGGGAAAGCACACAAGGCTGGACCCAGCCCCTATATCTGGTCTGCAACAAGCAGAAAGAAACTCGGCATCTGTACGACATCAATGGGTGAAATAACCTTTTCTGCAGCCCTTCTGCCCCTCAAAGCTGTTGGCACAGGAGCCAAACACTGATTTTAAAGCACCAGCAGCTGGAAAACAGATGGACCACCAGGGACATGGGACAGCCATGGGGTCCAGTGGTTCACTGGAGTAGGATTAGTCCCCCCACAACTGAGAGGCTTAGACTCCACCTCTCTGCAGAGCAGTGCTCCCCAGACCTGTGTCCTGGCGTGCTTCACCCTTCCCTCACAGCCTCCCACTGATTCCCAGGAGGGGATGGGGCTGATGAAGAGCCTAAACCTGGCTCAACAGAGTCCAGTGGGGTGTGAAAATCAGGGGCCACTTGTTTTCTTCACCTCTAACGGCACATTTTCATGTTTGCCTGGAGCCACTCAGGTGCCACGGGCTGCCTGACCCCACCGTCGCCAGCAGCAAACCAAGCGTGGCTCTGCATCCCTTCAGGGGCACAGGTTGGCATCCACTCTGCCAAGGCAGGCTTGGGTCTGCACCAGTCATCTCCGAAAACGCAGCAGCAGAGGAGCTGGAACTGGGAGCAGAGCAGGGCTCTGTGTCAGCACTGCGTGACAAGCCAGGCCAGAGCAGGGCTTGGCCTGTCCCCATCCCTGCAGGGGCAGGGATTCTGCTCAACTCCCCAGCTCCAGGAAAAGCAAGCCCAGCGCATGCAAATCCCTCCCTGGCATAATCCAGCTGCCTTTCTGCGCTGAGATGGATGAGGATCTCTAACGCTGACTGCAGAGCCCATTACTCAGAATGGAAGAGAAAACAAGCCACACAGGATCACCTAAATCCAGCTTCTAATTAAAAAGGGGAGGCAGAGCAGGTCATAATTCTCCTGGCTACCACAGAGGCTGGGGCAGCTGTTCCTGGTGCTGTGCTGTGGGCACTGGCTGTGCTGGTGTGGGGCTCTTTGCCTGCATCTGGATTGATGCAGGATTTCCAAGCAAATACAGGAGAAAGGGGCTGGAAAAACCACAATCATTTCTGCACCTCCCAAAATAAAATTATCTTGACTAGGACCAGCTGAAACTGTTTCCTACCATTGTTAGGTAGTTGCCTGCAGGAGGGGAGGAAGCTGGGAGCCGGGATAAAATCAGGAGGGTGCAGCCCAGGAGTGATGCAGGCAGAAATTGCTCTGCCCTAGGCTAGAACTGGAGTATAGCTATGGGGCTGATGGAAAGCCACCAAATCCACCTGCTCCCATTCTGTGGCATCACTAATCACATAAGCACCACCCAGGGCTGGCAGAGCAGTGGCACCAGCCCCGTTCCCCTTCTTGTGTGGGCTGCAAGTCCCCAGGCCCAGCCCTGTCCCAGCAGGCTGCAGCAACATGTTACTCTTCTCCAAAAAACACAACGCTCCCATCAGCACTTACATCAGCTCCTACTGCCTGCTGAGCTTTGTAAGAAAGACCATCCAAGAGCAGACTCCACAGCAGCTCTGGAAAGAGAATAAGTTTGTAAAACACATAAATGCTGCAGGAGGAGAAAACTTCAGGGTTTCTACCCCTACCCAACTGCTGCTGTAGAGGGGCGGCACAGGGTGGAATTGCTTCCTGATTAGGAGGTGTCTGACAGCTCACGGCCACTGCTTGCCGACTTCTTGTCCCCTGGAGCTGCATCCTGCAGTGGCTTTGGGCTCTGAGGGCTGGCAGTCACCAGGAAGAGCTCTCACACATCAGCCCTGTCCATCAGTAGGTTTTGGAGTGCAGGTTTGGAAGCAGGATCTGCTGAGGAAAGGGAAACTGAGGCAGGGCTCAGACCAGGGCTGCTGCATGACATGGTGATGATGGGGGGGCACACAGGGTGGCTCTGAGAGCTGCTCCAACACAGCCCTCAGGCTCAGATCAGTTCTGATGAGGAGCCTCCCATGACAGGGGGACCGTGTGAAGGGCTGGGGAAAGATCTGAGTGCCAAAATACCCCTCCCAGCCCTAGTCCTGGAGGAAGAGGGACCCCTGAGCCGAGGTCTGAGTGTGTGTGTGTCTATGGGGCACAGGTTTCCCTACAGGGGCTAAGAAGGTCGCAGGCACTGGGGCAAAGCTCACTGCAAACCATCTCATCTCCTACAGCCTCGTTAGCATGTGCATTATAATGAGGGAGCGAGCAGAGGGCACAGAGATGGATGTCACTGCTGTGCAGGGACAGAAATGGAGCACACTACCAACCAGGGCACCCCTCTGCCCCACAAGACCCAGCCCTCTCTGGCCTTGCCAGCTGTAGGACATTGCTTTGGTTGTGTAACTCCCCACCTGTGCTGGCCCCATTCCCAGTGCACTCACTCCCATCTCCCACTGAGGCAAAGTGCCCAGATGCCTTTGCCCACCCTGGCTGCAGGGGGAGAGGAGCCAGTGATGCCCAGCCATCCTTCGTCCCCTGGTTTTGGGTGAGCAGGGAGCCTGGAGGAAGGATCACGGTGCTGCAAGGAGCCCCAGGCCCACCCACTGTAAGGAAGGCTTGGTGTCAGATGTACAGCTGCATTTCCAGCATTAGATCCTGCCTGATAATCGGCTTCACCGTGTGTCCCGATGGCCATGAAAACAGATGCTGCCACATGGTATGGGTGTCTCTTCCCACTCCCTGCTGTCTGTAGGGATTAACAACGCCCCTGTTACAAAATCCATCGAGCCAAGGTCAGACCAAGCATTTGATAGAGGTGGCAATGCAGGAATACTACAGCAGCACCATCACCCTGCTGCTTACTGGCCCAAGAAGTACTGGCTGGGCAGGTCTGAAGGTACTGGTGAAGTGCCAGCTGTCCCCCTGAGTCACACAGGGCACATCTCCATGGGGTCAGGAGGCTGAAGATGCTGGCAGTGGCTCTGTTTATCCTCCTTTTGCATCCTGTGTCCCCCTTCCAGCTGCAAAGGGATGCTCCCTCAGTATCTGTGCTTGTAGCTTTGCCATGGCCACCCATCTCCCTCCCTGGACTGAGACTGTCGCTGTCCCAGGGATATCTGCTGATCCCTGATGTTTTGTCCCCTGGTATCCCATAAATACCCTCTGGTGGTAGGTGCTGCCTCAGGGATACTCTCCAGGAGAGTCCCCAGGGACCAGGGCTGCACAGGCAGGGACAAGTGGCCAATGAACTGCAAGTGATGGGTGTCACCTCCATGACAGATCCTTGACAAGAACCGCTGGATCAGCACCCCTGACATGTTCCCCTCACCCTGTGGCATTGTCTTTCACAGAGTGGGGGAACAGTCGGGACTCTCTGGACATCCCCCCTTGCCCCCAGCACCACAGGGCACCCCTGTCTGTCGCTTTTGCATTACACAGCACAACACAGTTTTTGTCAATAAGGGCAAATACATCACCTGGACAACAGGTCCCTACAACCATATAGCCTGGAATAAGCACTCCTCTCTCCTCCCCCTTCTGCCCAAGGTGGAGTCCAGCCCTGCTAGACCCCCCCAAACTGGAGCTGCCTCAGGTGCTACCAGCACCTCGAGCTCTGCAGCACAAGGCTGACATTGCTCCTTGCAGGAGGCAAGGTTGGAGACCTTTCTGCACAGCATGCCCAAGCTGTATCCCCCAAAACCCACCTGCCTAGGATGGGTCAGACTGCAGACACCGAGGGGTAGCAGGTCCCACCATGATGCCCACACAGGCAGCGATGCAGCCCTCACGTCTCCATCTCACAGTGTGAGTGAACCTGACCAGGGCAGGACACCACTGCAGTGCTGGGCTGTGGAGAATGTTGTTGCCACCTGCAGAGAACCAGTTGCCAGATTTACCTGCCAGGACAGCTGATGCTATGCCTGGTCTCACCTGGCCATCCTTGGAACTGTACGACTCCTGAAATCCCGATGACATCCCTGAGCCAGGATGCATGTAGCTTAGCATCCTCACAGACCACTTCAGTGTTTCTTGTGCTGCTCTTGTATTTTCTGTTGTCATTGTGTGCTCTACTTATCAAGAACCTGTTCCCTGGTCACGCTGTTCGTTATGCAGTAATTATCCCTGTCCTTCACCCACTCCAGGTCCAGCAGCACCTTTTAATCCCCACATGTTTACCTTTAGGATGTCTCTGTTGCTGAAGCAGCTTTTTTCAGCCCTGGGGAAGCAGAGAGGGCAGAAGGGAGGCTGTCCAGACAGTACAGTCATCACTCTGCTACTGCATTAACCCCCCATAGGCCAAAATTAGGTGTGAGGTTTTGCAGAAAATGTATGACTGGCTTTAAATTCCAGAGATCTGAAACTAAAACCAAACAATGAGAATAAACAGAGAGCATTGGGTTTCCCGTAGATTTCCCTATGCCTGAGGCTCAGAGAGAAGTTTCTCAAGGTCTTCTCCACTTAGAAACAGGAGTATTTTCCTGGATTGGCATGGCTCTGGGAAAGAACATTTTAGGGAAATGACTATAAAAGAGAGAGAGGGTGTTTGCAGGTAGGGAGACCTGCTGGAAATGGTCTCCTGGCAATGCCAAGGAGTGTTAGTTTATCTCAGAGGCTTACTCTGCCCCATGGCACTGGGGAAGGGCAAATATGGGCTTTCATTAAAACTGGCTTGCACCAGTTCCCCTCCGACCCTTTCCCACAGGCTGGGGAAGTTCCTGGTAAGGGGGAGGAAACTTCAGCAACTGCTGGCTTGGTGGGCACTTTAAGAACCCTCAGGATCTGGTACCTTGCCACCATGCACAAGCTGGAGATCAAGAAAGTACACCAGGGAAAGCTCTCAGAGCATAGTAACACAGCCAAAAATAGAAGCAGTCATTGACACCCATGTTTGTCGGCTTCGTGCTGGGCTGCTGAGGACGTGCTTGCTTTTGGCAAGTTATCCAGGAAGAGCTGCCATCCATCTGGGATACTGAGCACGGACACAGGCTAAATAAGGAGGGGGACTTGAAAGCAGCACATAATTAATGAAGGCATGAAATGCCCTTCTTTGACTATGATCTGAGAGCACAGTGCCAGGGGGCAACATCACGCAGGGCCCTCCAAGTGTGCTGCTGATTATAAACCCATAGCACTGCAGTCCTCACAGTGAGGGGGATGCTCCAGCACAGAGCCATCTGAGAACCAACCCACATTCCAGTGGGGCAGCACAGCTGCCATGCTGTGCCCACACCAAGTAGCACCCCAATCCTTCCGGGGCAGAGAAAACCCCGTGAAAACATCATCCCATGAAAGAGCATCCCGTGAAAAGCATGACCTGGCCCAAAAGCACTCATGGAAAGCCCATCCCAGCCCCAAAGCATCACATGAAGAGCCCAGCACAGCCCAAAAGCATCCCATTAAAACCCCGTCCCAGCCCCAAGGCATCCCATTAAAACCCTGTCCCGGCCCCGAAGCATCTCATGAAAACCCCCATCCTGACCCAAAAGCGTCCTGGCACAGCCCTGCCAGCGCCAAACCCTGAGCTCCCCCATCCCA